AAACACATTGCATGCATCAATTTAATTGATTCAAAGTTTTCTTTTTTCATATAAATTAACATAAAACATGGCTTAAATTCATATGTTCAAATTTTAAAAAACACACACATATTCATCTAGTTAATTGGTTCAATGAGATATTATGACTTTTTTTTAGAAAAATGACAGAATGCCAATTTTTCATAGAATAGTGACAAAATTCACATTCTTCTTGAGCAAACACCTTGCATGCATCAATATATGATTTAAAATTTTCTTTTTCATATGTATTATCATAAAATTATGCTTGAATTAGTATGTTTAAATTTCAAAAAATGCACACGTATGCATCTATTTAATTGCTCAAATGAGATAGTGACTTTTTTTTTTTGGAAAACAGTGACCCCATTCTCTTTCTGTCAAATACCTTGTATGCATCATTTTAGTTGATTCAAAGCTAATTTTTCATATGTATATATGGTATAATTCAAAGCCTATTTGTCTACCATTATTAGTAGAGAAATAGAGTAAGGAATAGTATTTTTTGGAGAATGTGAAGTTGAAATTTAAAATAATTTTATTGGTTTATGTGTAAAATATTTTTTTGAGTGAATATGTGGTTGAGATTGTTTACTTTAGAAAATAATGTTCGTAAAAATGGTAGACAAACAGTGGCTCATTTTCTCTCAAGTTCAACAATATTATTTTCAAATATATTTCCAATCANCATTCACCAAACAACGAATTTCGCTTGAATCATTTAAATTGGTTACAACCAATTTTCGATACAAAATTCCAACAGTATTAACATAAAACAATGTTTGAATTTGTATGTTCAACAATGTTAATTTTCAAATATTTTCCAATCAAGTTCAACAATGTTATTTTCAAACATATTTCCAATCACAATAGCAAAATAATAATAATAAAAAAAAACTTCATAAATGTTAATTATTTACATTATAAAGTTTAAACTAAATCCAATCACAAAATCCAAATAAAAGAGAGATAGACAATGAACTATGATCATAAGAATTTGTAAGGGAAATATTATTTAGTTGGAAATTGATCATCACGGTTGTTACTTTCATAATCTATCTAAAGAGAATACTAAACAATCTTAAAATAACAAAGCTGAGGAACTAATTAAACAAAGGATCAAAAACATAAACAAAAACCAAAAAAAAAAAAAATCCTGTAATTTTGTNGAATAATATTTTTTGGAGAATGTGAAGTTGAAATTTAAAGTAATTTTATTGGTTTGTGTGTAAAATATTTTATTGAGTGAATATATGGTTGTGATTGTTTACTATGGAAAATAATATTTGTAAAAATGGTAGACAAACAGGGACTTATTTTCTCTCAAGTTCAACAATATTATTTTCAAATATGTTTCCAATCGCAACAACTAAATTATCAAAAAGAAAAACTTCATAAATCTTAATTATTTACATTATAAAGTTTAAACTAAATCCAATCACAAAATTCAAATAAAAGGGCGATAGACAATGAACTATGATGATTAGAATTTGTAAGTGAAATATTATTTAGTTGGAAATTGATAATCACGGTTGTTACTTTCATAATCTATCTAAAGAGAATACTAAACAATCTTAAAATAACAAAGCTGACGAACTAATTAAACAAAGGATCAAAAACATACACAAAAAAAAAAATCCTGTAATTTTGTNNNNAAAAAAAAAAATCCTGTAATTTTGTTTGTGTATTACCGGAAGATTTTCTCGATTTTTTTTTTCCGAGCTTTCAATAAGAAGCCTCAATCTTTTTTCCGAGCTTTGAAGAATGAACGAGTTTTGATGGTGTATTTGAGGAAGATTTCATTTTTCTCCTTTCAATTTTCTCTTGATTTTTCCAGTTTAGTGATTGATTTTTGTAAATGTCTGTGATTTTTGGATTTGGGCGTACATACGTTCAAATATAACTAATTACAGTTTATTCCAATTTTATCAATTTTTTTAATACTGCCCCAAATATAGGGTATTTGTGACGCTTCCACAAATTTTCATCGACCAATCTATCTTTGAAGGCCAATAAGCCCGTCCAGAATCCAATTCGAGACCGGAACAAATCAGTACAAAGCTACTCCAGTTCTGCGAGACAGAGCGAAAATGGAGTCAAAATTTATGGGGTTTCTACGAGCTTCTCATCGCGGTCTTCACCTGGTGAGCATTCATGGTTTCATTCATTCAATTATGAATTTAAAGTTTTTTTATGAGTCTAATAAGCAAGTAATTATTCGCAATTCTTTCATGTTCTGCGTTTAATCTCAGAGCTTGGATAAAGGAGAGCAAGTCTTAGATGATGAAGCAGAGCCAGTAGTTATAGGAGGAATGGTACTGGACATAAATGCCTCTTCTTCTATGCCAGCAAATCCAAGGACCACCACTCCGGGGAAGGTATACATATGTGTTATGTGTAGCGGACCCCAAATTTATTGAGATTATGGCATAGTTTGTAGTTATGATATTGAAATTATTGTGCCTTCTGTTGGTTTCTAATGATTTTATCATACTAAGGGCCTGCTTGGGAGTTTTGGCTCCTGGTTATGAGCCTTCTTTACGACCAAATCGATTTTAAATGGGAAGTTAGTATTTTTACTTATAAGTAAACTTTACAATTATAAATTAATTTTTTCTTTTAAATAATTTTTTTACATAAGTGAACTTTTACTTATAAGTAACTTTTTTATATTTTATAAGTGAATTCTTATCTTATTAGTAATATTTTTACTTTATAAATTGTTTTCACACGATTAATTTTTATCTTATAAGTAATATTTTATTTATAAGAAATTTTTTAGTTATAATGTAATTTTTTTGCTTATAAATAATTTTTTAGTTAGTATATTTTTATTTGTAAGTTTGGTTGGAAATCATTATTTTATAAATGGTAAAATTAGAAGAGAATATGATAAATGACCGAAAATCGCTGATTTGATGGATTGAGAGAACTTGTCAAAATTATACTAACATTGAAAATCGGTGCCCCAAAAAATTTAATAAGTCTTGTTTTTCAACCCCTCGTTAACAGTGCCAACCCAAAACCAGTCTAAGCCAGTGAAAAATAAAACTCCCAAGCAGGCCCTAAAGGTAGATTGATTTAGAACTTCAATTTTCACGAAGTATTAGGAGAATGAATGTGAAGTTATTTTGTGAATGTCATTTATCAGTATGTGATGTGGGACTTCTCTTTTCAGGTGCTTTATGCGTTAGGTGGTGTAGCAAGGAATGTTGCTGAGTGCATGTCAAAGCTTGGTACAAAGCCTTTTATGATAAGTACACTTGGGCTTGACATGGCAGGTATATATTCTATCAGGACGAACAACACCTTTGATTATGTCGTCATTTCTTTTTCCGTTGAAATAGCATTAGAGTATCTGACTTTCACAATTATTTTTCATTTGAAATTATGGATATTTTTTTACCATTTGATATTCTGTAAAAAAGCTATGGATATTTTTAAATATATAGTAGGCATATTGAACAAGTGCATGATTATTCATTATTCAGATATTCCATGATTAAATATAAAAAAAAATATCATACCCCATAAAAATTGCCACTGCGGATATTGACTGACAAATTGGGACAGTGGAGATCTAAAGCACTTCGTGGATCTGACTGTAATGAATTTCAGCCAGTAGGAGCTCATTAGCAGTGCATACACTCATTTTAGTTGCATTCTAGATTTTCATTAGTAAACCGCCAACGCTGCACTGGTTTATTGTGCTATTAGACCATTGCAATCTGGAAGTTTTTCCTTCTAGTTCTGCTTATTATCTTAGAGAATCCCACTGAGAGGAGTTGGTGATTATATGTGCTCTCTCTATTGATTAGGAAATTTACTGTTGGAGCACTGGAGATCTGCTGGGCTTTCCTTAGAAGGTACACTTTTTGAAGTTTTCAGTTTAAAAAGGAAGCTAATATTCCCCTTTATATTGTTGGGAAAATATTTTAGACCTGGAATCTTAAAACAGTAAAAACTGCATTTCTTGTTTTTTTCAAGGCTTATCTTCCCTTTTATTAATTGATTATGTAACTATTGCATTTTGATAAGTTATGTTTCCCTTTAATGGAGTGGTAACTTGAATAAATTGCAAGCATTCTAATGAAAAATCTATTCTTCATTCTTTACTAGGCATTCAAAAGCACCAAGATATTGAGACAGCAGTAGTTTGCAACATTTTTGATGGTACAGGAGAACTGTTAGCTGCTGTTGCTAGTGTTGAATCACTTGTAAGTTGTTCTCTGGAGAAAACATTGTAGAATAATTAAGAAGCAAACAAATTCCAACCTCAATATGGTGATGGAAACAGGAAAAGTTTCTTACACCTAAGTGGATAGAAAGATTCCGAAGCAATATCTGTTCCGCTCCAGTGCTGATGGTTGATGCAAATTTAAGTCCTCCAGCATTGCTAGCATCTTGTCGAAGTACGTTGGCTAATCAATTAATGTTGCTCTCTCTCCTCCCTGCTTCCTCTATATATCTGCATGTATAAGCATGAGAAAGAATCCTACTTGCAATTATTTTTGTTTGCACATGAAGATCTTTAATAACACCTATCATGTATCAGGATGTGTTCAGAAATCAATTAAGCTGGCCTGCCACGTGAAGATAGAAAACAAATGTATTTATATAGCCGTTGACCGACTGTTCTATTGTATTCATTAAATGCAAAATTTTCTCCCAATGCCCAAATGATATCTTATGTGCCCACTGCCTCGTACACAAAGTGAAATCCTATAGGCGATACTGCTACTCCTAGAACCCTAGTTTTCATATATTGGATTCTTACAATATTTCATGTGAGATTAAATATATAATGTAAGTGTGAATAAACTACACCTAGGGCCTTATGACTTGGCTCTATCACTAGAGTATAACTTCTGCTTCATATTAACATCTTTTTTAAGTATAGTTACATTTCTTCTCCATTTTTTATTTGATATTGTTGCTGTGCTATGATATTACAATCTTACAATTACACAAAGATTAGCTCTGTATGTACTTGTTTGTTTTGTGAGTACTCGGGTTTTGCTTGTTCCTTGTTCAATATGCACATTTCGTATCAGTTATTAGTCAAAACTATTTTTCCTTGAAAGTTGCAAATCAAAATGGAACGTGTCTGTATATTATTTATGCACATTTTCAATATATTATTATAATAATATCTTCACCTCAATTTTCTGTTATATAGTGATACAATTATTTATTGGTTAAATACGTTTCTCAGTGGCAACAGAATGCGAGACTCCTGTGTGGTTCGAGCCTGTATCAGTTGCTAAATCCAAAAGAATTGCTTCAATTGCCGAATATGTGAGTACCGGCAAACAATCGTACCTATGATTAAGCTTGTTGCCATTTGTTTGTTTGTTGATATGTCTCCTTCAATCGTAAAATTATCCTGCTAAACCATCTGATCTTCCATAAATTTCTGTTACGAGTTACTTTCTGTCTGGTTTGTCATGGTTTTTAAATGGTCGAGGAATGTGGAAATAGATAATAGCAGAACTCCTTATTCTCCACCCCTTTCCTTGAATTTGTAGGATAAATAATGTTTATAATCTATATAAACTTTTTCGACTTATTCAAAGTTCTTTGACAGATTAGTTTTGCCTCACCTAACGAAGATGAGCTTGTAGCTATGGCAAATGCTCTTTCTTGTCAAGATAAATATTTACCAGTTAAAAGAGATTGTGGCAGTACCAAGATATCCATCGGATCGCTGTTTCAAATGCTTAAACCTGCAATCTGGGTTTTGCTAGAGAAAGGCATTAGAGTTGTTATTGTGACTCTTGGATCCGACGGGGTCTTCTTATGCTGTAAAGCAGTGCATGGTTTTAAGAGACGTGATTTCATGGGAAACAAACCTCATTCTTTCAGCAGACAACTTTATAGCACTGTGAATTCAAGTTGTCCCCCCAGTAGATTTGTTAGTTCTCTACCGTCCAATGGAAGATCTTTATTCTTTGCTGTGCATTTTCCTGCACTTCCAGCATCAGTCGTGAGGCTTACTGGGGCTGGTGATTGCTTAGTTGGTGGTACAATATCTTCTTTTTGTGCTGGTTTGGATATAATGCAAAGTGTGGCAGTTGGCATTGCAGCAGCCAAAGCGGCTGTTGAAACAGAGAACAATGTGCCTGCAGAATATGTTTTGGCCAAAATTACAGGTACACGTATGAACTTACTTTCGTTTTCATTTGTTTTGATTTCAGGCATATTCTACCAATCTTCCTTGAGGCAAATGTTAACTATTTACCAGAGGATTAAAAAAAGTAGATAGGTGTCAAAGCATTTGAATAAATTCCGCATTAAACAATAAGAATATTAAAACCATTAAATGTTATTATCCACAATTATACCCCCTTTTCTATTAGCCCCTGTTTGATTTCCATTATTTCAAAACTCATTTTTTCTCACTCATTTTCAACCATACATTCTCACGATGAAATATTTTGCACGTAAATCCAAAACTATTTCCTACTTTTTAACCACACATTCTTTAAAAATTCACTATTACAAAACTCATTTGATGAAATAATGAGCATCAAATAGGGGCTTAATAAGAACATGTTGAAAATAATAATTAATACAAAATTCTAGACAGCAAAAATATTTGAATACAGACATCAAATCACTCTTCTTGCACCAATTGCTTGGCCTCCAGACTGATTAGATGAATTTCTCGTTTGCAGATGATGCAAGGGCGGTGTATTGTGATTCCAACATTGTATTCTGTGAATCGAAGTTGTGATATACTGGGTATAATTCTACAGCAATATTGATAGTTGAACATGTGAAGATTTCCTACCTCTCATCATGTTAGACAAGTGATTATTTCATCTATTTTCTTCCTCTGGCTGTTGATGAAGTGAAGAATTTAGTTCATCTGGTACAGTCTCACAGAATATTTCTGTACATTTCTTGCACGTGATGAATTGTGAAGGAAAAGCTGCAGAATGTGCATTCATCTGTCGAGTAAAATGCCTTGTCCTGATGTGCCGAATTTGCTCTCTGACCAATTCACATGTTAGGAGTGGATCTTGATAGAGATTTTTGCTCCCAATAGTTGTATGAAATCTGTTATTTAACTGTGTGAAACCATTATACAGATTTCGCCATTTTCTTCGAAATTTACACATTTGTGTAGTTTTTGGAAATATTCCCTCAATTCATACGCGCATTGAGGTGTGCATTTATGCTGATAGGAAACTGTGGTTCGATTGTTGGGAAGAATGTTATAATACCATACTATTGTTTGATTCGTGTATAAACATGTCCAAAGGCTCGGCTGGCACCGTTGACCGTGCCGACTGCTTATATGGGCCGTGAAGGGAATCCGAATAGGGGATTCGGGTAGTAGAAAGCTTGGTTATTGACAAATCAGGGAGGAAAAACATATTATTATTTTTGGTTGCCTGCCCTGGGCGGGAGAGAACTATTTAAAAGCACGTAATTACAAAATAGTTGAAGAGTCGCAAACAAATTTCAGTTAACTTTGCCCATTTGGCGGTGAATCTGCATTAAGAATTATATTTAAATGAGGGCACTGAAAGAAGGACTCAAATTTCATGCCAATGCCATAAAATCTGGTTTCACACCAACTATTTTCGCAGCCAACCAACTCATTCACTTGTACTCCAAACAAGGTTTTGTAAGAGAAGCTTGTAAACTGTTCGATGAAATGCCTGAACGAAATGTGTACACTTGGAATGCCATTATAAACGTTCATATCAAATGCCAAAACTTCACTGCTGCACAATTCCTCTTTGATTCTGCTCCATGTAAAGATTCGGTCACCTACAATTCGTTGATAAGTGGGTATGCAAACTCTGATGGACATGAAAATATGGCTCTGAAGTTGTTTGTTCAAATGCAATACGAGAGTGAGAGTGTTAAGGTGGACGAGTTTACACTAACTACACTGCTTAATTTGGTAGCTAAGTTAAGGGCGTTATGTTATGGGAGGCAGTTACATTCATATATGGTGAAGACTAATAATGATTCTAGTGGGTTTGCAGTTACTTCTTTGATAGATATGTACTCGAAATCTGGGTGTTATAACGATGTGTGGAGTGTGTTTAATGGAAGCGGTGATCGAGGGGTGACAGATGTCGTCGTGAAGAATGCAATCCTGGCAGCTTGTTGCAGAGAAGGCGAGTTGGAATTGGCTCAGGAAATATTTTCGACTCAGCTGGAGTTGAATGATAATGTATCTTGGAACACGATGATCTCGGGATATGTTCAGAATGGGCGTGTGGAGGAGTCGATCCAGCTGTTTAGGTGCATGGCCGAGGAGGGTTTTAACTGGGACAACCACACATTTGCTACTGTCTTGAGTGCTTGTTCTACTTTGAAGAATTTGAAGCTTGGGAAAAAAATACATGTTCGGGTTCTGAAAGAAGGGATGTTGGCTAGTCCCTTTATAGCCAGTGGCATCGTAGATGTTTATTGCAAGTGTGGTAATATGGGGTATGCTGAGTCTGTTCACAAGACAGTTGGAACGAGAAATTCGTTCTCAATTACTTCGATGATTGTTGGATACTCGACAAGTGGTAGCATGCGAGAAGCCAGAAGGCTTTTCGACTCATTAGCAGAGAAAAATATTGTCGTTTGGACCGCCATGTTTTCTGGGTACGTGAAATCCCAGCAATACAAGAATGTTTTTCATCTTTTCCGGGAGTTTCAGAACAAGGAAAAAACAGTTGCGGACGCTTTGATCGTTGTCAGCCTGCTTTGTGCCTGTGCAACACAGGCCTCTATAGATCTTGGTAAGCAAATTCATGCATACACATTGAGAATGAGTATCAAAATTGATGAGAAAACTGTTGGTGCCTTGGTTGATATGTATTCAAAATGTGGGAATATAAGCTATGCAGAGAGTATTTTCCAAAGAGCTAGAGCCAAAGATTTAGTAGTTTACAATGTAATGATAGCCGGTTATGCTCACCATGGATATGAATATGAAGCTATCAAGCTTTATGAGGAAAAGAAACAAATCGGCCTTCAACCTGATGCTGTAACTTTTGTCGCAATTCTATCAGCTTGTCGGCATTGTGGTATNATGAAGCTATCAAGCTTTTTGAGGAAATGAAACAAACCGGCCTTCAACCTGATGCTGTAACTTTTGTCGCAATTCTATCAGCTTGTCGGCATTGTGGTTTAGTAGAAGAAGGTGAGATGTATTTTTCGTCAATGATGGAAGATTATGCAATAACTCCCGAAACCGACCACTACGCGTGTATGTTAGACTTGTATGGAAGGTCGAATCAACTCAAAAAGGCAGTAGCCTTTTTCGAGAAGATGCCTATTGAACCGGATACCATAATATTGGGCACGTTCATGAATGCTTGCAAAATGAATCGAAATCTTGAACTCGCAAGAATGGCAGAGAACAAGCTATTGGAAATCGAAGGGAATAATGGAGAAAGGTATGTGCAGTTGGCTAATGTGTACGCTTCCGAGGGGAAATGGGACGAGATGAGGAGGGTGATGAAGAGGATGAGAGGGAAGGCAGTCAAGAAGGTCACAGGACGTAGTTGGGTAAACGTTGGGAATAGTGTTCATGTTTTTAAGTCGGGTGACCGATCTCACTCCGAAGCCGAGGCTATATATTTTACTCTAGGATGCTTGATTCAAGAACTTTGTGGTGTACTTGCATTTGATGATTTGATATAAGAATCTCGTGCATGGACTGATCGTCAAATGTTCTACTAATACTGATACTCGATACGACAAGTGACAATGTAATCTTTCTTAATAAGGAAAAAGCTACTTGTACTACACAATTGTCCCGAAATCTTTACTTAATGCTAACATGGCATTTAGATAGTCAAACAAAACGGCTGAGGGACCACCAGCGAAATCACGTGAAAGATTTTGAATAAACTCACGTGAAAGTTTTTGAATAAACTCCCCCAAAATCAACTCCACCGTTCGCACTCCTCCCTCACAAACAGTTAATCGCCGACAGAAATCGCGAGTCGAAGTGAAACCCAGTGAAATCAAACCTCCGACTGGATTATTGCGGGTTGCTTGAGGCTTTACTCGAACTGTGAAATCGCGAGCACCATTTCTGTGAAATCAACCAGGTTAGTACCTATTCACTTCCCGTTTAGTGTTTGGGAAACACCGAGCGCGCTAATTTCTTCCCCAACCCCGTCGCCTTCTATGAAATCGACATTTACTTCTCCTGCCCTGTCGCCAACTGTGAAATCACCACACCCAACATTTCACACACTTTATAATTATTTAAGGAATGATTGAATTTGTGGAAAAATAAGATTTTCCCTATCCATCGTCACCTTCAGTTTTTTTGACAGTGATAGTAGATAGTGGATCGTGTTGGTTGGAGACAGGGAAAAATTATGTTGATTGTGAAGAAATGGTGAAAATAAAAACATGAGCAATATGAAGTAATGCTTGGCATGGAGATTTTGGAAGTAGAAGCTTTTACTGATGATGTTGTGGAATTTTGCTATTAATAATTCAGATGTTTGTTCGCTCAGTTTTGCTTCATTTGGTCCTGTGGTATCTGTATGTTTTGCTTCATGGATCTCATTTTTTTGAACTTTGTATTATCAGCTGATAAATCATTTAGTGTTTGTTTGGGAGAAATCATTTAGTGTTTGCTCTTCGCCACTTAATTATCCCTTTTGTTGTCCCAGAATGGTCGAGAAGAACAATGGAATATGTGATTCTTGTAGGGTGTCAGGATACGTGTTACAGGAATGCCCTAAAAGGCGAAGATGCACATACTGTGGCGAGGGCTTTGTTAGGTGGTTAGAGGTAGAAAAGAATTCCGACAATAAAGGGAAGTTGTTCCACAGTTGTACTTGCGGCTATAGGTTTTTCGATTTTTGTGAAGTTTTCCCCGACAAGGTGTATCCATTGCAAGGTGAATCAGGTGGTACTACCAACGGTAATGAAGTCGTCTGCGATTTGTCCCGTATGTTGAAAACGTGTGCAAAAATAACCGGGGAGAGGGACATGGAGATTTCGCTCAACATAACCATGCGTAAGGGGAAAGCAGTTCCGAGAGATTGAATATGAATTATGTTTATTATTTTGTTTGTATGACCTCGACTTATTGTACTAATTCGGTTTTATGAACAAGAATGTCAAATGGTGTATGTTGACTGTTTTTGTATGAACATATTTTGATATTCCCTATTTCAATTAACGTTACCTCTTTAAATCAAGTAGAAAAAACATATGAAAATAGAAATGCATTAAATCAAAACGAACTTCATTACTATCACAAAACAATATACAACCGACGTTAGTTAATTGCTTACAAAAATATACAGCCACATTTGTGTGGCGATAAGTGACCCCTAATTCAAAATCACCCACGTGGAACATCTCAGTTCACTATTGACAAAAAAATATACAACCGACGTCATCCATTTCTTCAGACCCCTAAATCAAAACCACCCACGCTTTCCTGTGTGCTGCCTAGTTGGGAAGGGCAGGTGTTTGTACTGCGAATCTCCTAAAAAAAACGTCATGTTCAAATATTTCTCTTTCGTACTCACGCAAACCAAGCGTAATGTTTGAAAAATACCTGAACATCGAATGGGGGTGGAACATTGTCTTTCCGCCTTTTCGATGTAGAGTTCTTGGCACCTACATGTCATGAAAAAAAATATCAGTTTCAATGTTTAGTGTTTCTACACAAATATATACATATACTACAATAAATTGTCTCGATATCATACCTTATGACATGTTCTTGATTTTTCTAAATGCCCATTTCGGCGAAGTTTTTTAGGAGCTCCCTTTGTTTTTGTGTATTTCGGGTCCAACAGTTTTTCACAAACTGATTGTTTTGCTTCATCAACACTTTGGGCTCCCCAGTCATAGTCTTTAATATCGATGCCTCTAGTGTTTGAAATTCAATCCACTCCATAATTACATGTGCACGTGACTCGTCATGTGCTACCAAGTCAGCTAACTTTGTAAAAGCATTGCACAGTTGCTCAAAATGCATTAATACCCTCACTTCATTGTGTTGTTGACATACCCACCCAGAATGATGTTTTCAAAAAGTATGGCACCCATTGACTCCTTTCATTGTATAGACCAGTCNATGAAGCTATCAAGCTTTTTGAGGAGATGAAACAAACCGGCCTTCAACCTGATGCTGTAACTTTTGTCGCAATTCTATCAGCTTGTCGGCATTGTGGTTTAGTAGAAGAAGGTGAGATGTATTTTTCGTCAATGATGGTAGATTATGCAATAACTCCCGAAACCGACCACTACGCGTGTATGTTAGACTTGTATGGAAGGTCAAATCAACTCAAAAAGGCAGTAGCCTTTTTCGAGAAGATGCCTATTGAACCGGATACCATAATATTGGGCACGTTCATGAATGCTTGCAAAATGAATCGAAATCTTGAACTCGCAAGAATGGCAGAGAACAAACTATTGGAAATCGAAGGGAATAATGGAGAAAGGTATGTGCAGTTGGCTAATGTGTACGCTTCCGAGGGGAAATGGGACGAGATGAGGAGGGTGATGAAGAGGATGAGAGGGAAGGCAGTGAAGAAGGTCACAGGACGTAGTTGGGTAAACGTTGGGAATAGTGTTCATGTTTTTAAGTCGGGTGACCGATCTCACTCTGAAGCCGAGGCTATATATTTTACTCTAGGATGCTTGATTCAAGAACTTTGTGATGTACTTGCATTTGATGATTTGATATAAGAATCTCATGCATGGACTGATCGTCAAATGTTCTACTAATACTGATACTCGATACGACAAGTGACAATGTAATCTTCTTAATAAGGAAAAAGCTACTTGTACTACACAATTGTCCCGAAATCTTTACTTAATGCTGACATGGCATTTAGATAGTCAAACAAAATGGCTTAGGGACCACCAGCGAAATCACGTGAAAGATTTTGAATAAACTCACGTGAAAGTTTTTGAATAAACTCCCCCAAAATCAACTCCACCGTTCGCACTCCTCTCTCACGAACAGTTAATCGCTGGTAGAAATCGCGAGTCAAAGTGAAACCCAGTGAAAACAAACCTCCGACTAGATTATTGCGGGTCGCTTGAGGCTTTACTCGAATTGTGAAATCGCGAGCACCATTTCTATGAAATCAACCAGGTTAGTACCTATTCACTTCCCATTTAGTGTTTGGGAAACACCGAGGGCGCTAATTTCTTCTCCAACCCCGTTGCCTTCAGTGAAATCGATATTTACTTCTCTTGCCCCGTCGCCAACTGTGAAATCACCACACCCAACATTTTGCACGCTTTATAATTATTTAAGGAATGATTGAATTTGTGGAAAAATAAGATTTTCCCCATCCATCGTCGCCCTCAGTTTTTTTGACACTGACGGTGGACAGTGGATAGTGCTGGTATGGAGACAGGGAAAATTTTATGTTGATTGTGAAGAAATGGTGAAAATAAAAACATGAGCAATAAAAAGTAATGCTTGGCATGGAGATTTTGGAACTAGAAGCTTTTACTGATGATGTTGTGGAATTTTGCTATTGATAATTCAGATGTTTGTTCGCTCAATTTTACTTCACTTGATCCTGTGCTAACTGTATGTTTTGCTTCATGGATCTCATTTTTTTAAACTTTGTATTGTCAACTGATAAATCATTTAGTGTTTGTTTGGGAGAAATCATTTAGTGTTTGCTCTTCGTCACTTGATTATCCCTTTTTTTGTCCTAGAATGGCCGGGAAGAACAATGGAATATGTCATTCTTGTAGGGTGTCGGACACGTGTTGCAGGAATGCCCTAAAAAGCGGAGATGCACATACTGTGGCGAGGGCTTCATTAGGTGGTTAGAGGTAGAAAAGAATTCCGACAATAAAGGGAAGTTGTTCCCCAGTTGTACATGCGGCTGTAGGTTTTTCGACTTTTGTGAAGTTCCCCCGACAAGGTGTATCCATTGCAAGGTGAATCAAGTGGTACTACCAACGGTAATGAAGTCGTCCGTGATTTGTCCTGTATGTTGAAAACGTGTACAAAAATAACCGAGGAGAGGGACGTGGAGATTTCGCTCAACATAACCATGCGTAAGGGAAAAACAGTTTCGAGAGATTGAATATGAATTATGTTTATTATTTTGTCTGTATGACCTCGACTTATTGTACTAATTCGGTTTTATGAACAAGAATGTCAAATGGTGTATGTTGACTGTTTTCATATGAACATATTTTGATATTCCCTATTTCAATTAACGCTACATCTTTAAATCAAATAGAAAAAACATATGAAAATAGAAATGCATTAAAACAAAATGAACTTCATTACTCTCACAAAAAAATATACAACCAGCGTCAGTTAATTGCTTACAAAAATATACAGTCACATTTGTGTGGCGATAAGTGACCCTTAATTCAAAATCACCCACGTAGAACATGTCAAAAATCACCCATGTGGAACATGTCAGTTCACTATTGACAAAAAAATATACAACCGACGTCATCCATTTTTTCAGACCCCTAAATCAAAATCACCCACGCTTTCCTGTGTGCTACCTAGTTGGGAAGGGCAGGTGTTTGTACTGCGAATCTCCTAAAAAAAAGTCATGTTCAAATATTTCACTTTCGTACTCACGCAAACCAAGCATAATGTTTGAAAAATACCTGAACATCAAATGGGGGTGGAACATTGCCTTTCCGCCTTTTCGATGTAGAGTTCATTGGCA